AACCATCCCATGAAACTAGTAAAGTAAGTTCAGGATTAGAGGTAGCCAAATTATAACTAGTGCTTTATTCTGATTTAATAAGCTGCCATATAAGCACATCTATTGTTATGCTTAGATTAAATTAAATTTGGAGATAAATAGGTCCAAAAGGAAATTATTTACTTGCAATGATAATTCTAGAAATTATATTTCAAACTTTATTGTAGGCTTTACTTAACATTTATTATACTAAAGTTGCTACAAACGATATTAGAATCCTGGCCTGTCTAGACCTAGGTTGAGACGGTTCTTTTTCGGAGATTTAACACTATTACACACCAAATTATTCCTAGATCCTTGATTTATGAGTAAGTAAAAACATTATAATTCGCTATTTGCCAAATTATACTTCAAAATTAATTTAAATTTGAAGTCAATCTAAAATATGAGTTTATGATGCCTTTGAAAACTTCTTTATATTTAATTTTCAATCATTAATTTGTTTTGCATAGCTTAGCTATTAGGCTCGCATTTTACCCTTAACTTCTCGATCAATAAATATATTAAATGAAAGCATATAATAATATGACAGGGCAAAAGTAAATACGAATTCTGCTTTCCGAGCAACAAATGTTGCTTTCATTTTAGTTTCTATCCCTTTCATTGGAAGCAGAATAGTGTGTATGAATTCTATACTTCGAAAGGAGACTGCGACCAAAATAGAGGTCACAACATCTGGGTTCAAATTTGAATTTTTAGTAAAACTCAGCTAAAGTGCTTATATTCAGTTTGAATAGGTTTCAAAACGACTACTAGATATTGAATAAGAGCTATATTGCCTATGCCCTGTGACTAGGGTTTGATTTCCGTTAGGGTACTGAGACCCATGCGAAGTTGAAACTGTAGTTCAGTCCGGCTTGCAGGTGAATACCTTTTGTTAATAAAGGCTAAATGAAATTAAACAGCATCATGAGACGTACTCATTGCAATGTTGAAAAATTCTACTATCGGTCCTTCGTCAGCATATGTGGCCTAGGGCAAATACAGCTCTTATTTAAGTTCTACTGTAGGTTTCGAAACCTCGATATAGGTGAAAATCATAAAACACATACTCATTGGCGGGATGCAGAATAGTGCTGAATGCACATCGTGTGCTGCATATCCAACCGAGTCCATACATGCAGTGGACGTCGGACTCGAATCCGCCATGCTAATCAGCTGGTGTTGAGACCGTAGAGAAAGCTGTGAATGGTGCATGGAAGCGTGGGCTTGTTGTGTGTCTTGGTGATGTATCATATCAATCGGAGGTGGCATCGCTTCCGACTGTTGAATATTCTGTTCAATTTGCCTCGCGGTTCCACTTCTGCCTACCGGTGGCTGAGCCTCTAACTGTTGCTCCTTAGCTTGATTATGGTGTTGGTGCCGAGTGTGCCGATGGCTTCCTCGATGCTGGTCACCAAATGCACCTGGGTGTGCATGGTGTGGACCATTCTGTTGTTGCAGTGGATGCTGGTGATTTGGCTGAGTCTGGACGTGGGCATACAACGGATGAGATTGTATCGAGTGCATGTGGCCCGTCATCATTATTGCTGCCGCCGCCATCGAACTAGGAGACAGACATCTTTGCTCTGAGGCCTCAGCTACGAGACTTGGCAAACCACTCCCTCCGGCCACTTCACCACCCCCTCCACCATTTCTGCCACCAGCCTCTCTAACCGGAGAGCATGTGTCTTGAGAGCGATGAGCACCGGAAAAACCAGAAAACGAGAATTGATGTTGGCTTTGCTGCTGTTGGTGTTGGTGATGATGATATGCGGCCATGGCGGCCGCAGCCTGCAACGAGTGCGAGGTCAGGGTAGCCATAGCACTCGGAGGACAGCCGCTCTCTCCGCTGCCTTTGGAGTTTCTGTCGTTGCCATTGTTGAACATGTTTGCAGATAGGGAAATTTGTGAATTGCTAGCTCCGCTAAAGTTTAGAGGTCTTGACTCCGAGCCACCAGTCAGCAAAGACGTTGGTGAGGCTCCTCCACATCGCAGGGCTGTGCCCGACGCCAGCTCCTCTGGGCCAGTGGGGTGTCGAATTGCCTGGGTCGTGGCAAGTGTTATATGTTGGCCGGTAGATGAGGGTGATGGTGAAGCCGTGGAAGAGGAGGATGAAGCAAGGCCGATTGTGAGACCTCGCGAAGTGTTGGTACCGGAGGCAGAGGGCGATCTCAGCCCGGGAGTAGACGAGGGAAGAGAATTTGTTGCTAGCCCAGAAAGCGACATGCCGTCCACCAGGCCCTCACTATCCCCCGCTCCGACGGCCGCAGCCTCCGTAGTTGCAGATACTACAGAAGACGGCATCGCTAAACAACCGCTCGTAGAGTAGTCAGCAATGCTATACAGGTCTCCAGGCCCTCCTACCCCACTGCCAACTACGACAGCTGCTGCTGCAGCTGCAGCCGCAGCCCCGTTGGCAGCGTTCATCATCATCGAGGCAGCGGCTGCAGCTGCCGGGCTATACAAGTGGGCAGGGAAGCCGTGGCTATTCAGAGTCTGTTGTAGACTACTGGCCATGTTCGTGCTCTCGGGAAATGCTAATTTTTAGGCCCGTAGACACTTTATCAATCAATCTGAACATAATTGTTAAGAATTATCATTGGATATTTTAATAAGATTGTAGAAATGAGACACATCTATCAACAATAATTCAAGATATAAAAAGCCAGCTTAAAACTAGCTTAACCTAATTAAAGATAATTCAATTTTAAAAAGGAGACATAAATGTCTTGTTAAGAAGAATTTAGAGCAGGATTTATCTTCTTGAGCATTTGAAGAGTCAAAAAGAAGTTGTTACCTTGTTTTCGCAACTTGGTCATATTTGGAGGAATCCTTATCCAGAATCCATTGTATGCATGATAATGTCCAGAGTCGGACCGTGGACTTGGTACATTCTCACCATGAATCTTTAGCAGACAATTGGTTGAAGGATCGGCTTCACGTGTCTGTTTGACGAGGTTTAGTGTCATGCTAAGAATAACAAAACTCACTGATGATGCTGACTACGATGCCGGCTAAATGTCTGGGAATGTACGATGTCCACGGTCCGACTCTGGAAATGATCATGCATGGACTCTGGACTAGGTGCGTTCCTTTAGGTCTTCCTACCAATATGACGAAGTTGTGAGAACAAGATCAAACAACTTCTACACAACAAAAAGAGATCGCGACCATACAAAAGGTCACACCATAGTGACCTTCATATCTTAATTAAAAAGAAGTTAATATATTCAATAATTAATTATCGTCATCTCATAAACTTGTTGCCACTGCAAATAAACTCTTACAATTTACCCTGGCGTTTAAAAAATATAAAGAAAATATTGAAGTTGTTTGACTTTGTTTTCGAAACTTCATCAGAATGGTAGAAAGACTTAGAGGAACGAACCTAGTCCGGAGTCCATAGCATGCACGATAGTATCCAGAGTCCGAGCGTGGACGTAATACATTCCCAGACGTTTAGCCGTCATCGTAGTCGGTATCGTCAATAAACTTTGCTAGTCTTAGCACCACACTAAATCTCATCAAAAAGACGAGTGAAGCCAAGCATTTTACCAATTGTATGCTAAGCAATCGTGGCATCTCTCCTTCCACCATGAGCTAATAACCAAACCTATATCCTCGTATCACCTCTTGAATATAACAATTTTTTCTTTACTTATTTAAATGTGGTATGGTGTGCCCTTTTGAGCGGATTTCAGGAGAACTCTTACCACCCCAAGATGGTTTTCTCACTCCTTCATCCCCCTTCACCCTTGTGCTGGGAATATTGATCAGAATCTGCCATATTGCTACGCAGTCCTCCTCCCATAGGTCTTATCAAAGTCTCCCTCTTGTCCCTAAAGCTACGTCTGCTATCTCACTGGTTCAAGTATTTCACTCGATACCTGTCACCCTATCTGGGCTAATGGGGGCGTTATTTCTCACGCTCTGCATCTTAGACATTAATTTGAGGCTAAAGACTCCGAGTAATTCTGATGGTCAAGCCTTTGCTTCATGGAACACGTCTATGATCGACACCTTTACTGCTAGCGAACTAGCTCTAGTTTCCGCCGCATCTATCATGCTTCTATCGAGAATACTAAGTCTATCCATTCCTATGCCCTAGACCCTTGTGTGCCAACCCACAAATGTTGTCGTTCTACATCAAAACAATTAAAGCCAATGGACTAAAATTAGTGGTGATATGAGATATATTCACCCTCTTTCGTTTAAGGTGATGAAGGACTGGTAGTAGAATTTTCCCACAGTTATATGGGTATGAATGACGCTTCCATTGAATTTGATATATCCTTGATTTTCCAAAAGTTGTTCTTTTCCAGGTGGACTGCAGTTTCGACTTCTCATAGGTTTTATCAACACCACCAGGGGAGTCGAACAATGACAATGTAGCATGTGCGCTTGACACGTTTTAGCGTGGAGCTAAGAATGACAAAGCTCATTGATAATGCCGACTACGATGACAGCGAAATGTCTGGGAATATACCACGTCCACGGTCCGACTCTGGAAATGATCATGCATCTATGGGCTCTGGACTAGGTGCGCTCCCCTAGGCCTTCCTATCAGTATGACGAAGTTGCGAGAGCAATATCAAATACCTATACAATGAAAGGAGATTGCGACCATACACCATCTTGGTCTTCATACCTTCGACTAAAGCAAATATTTTTCGCTCGCCATCATAAGGCACTTTATAAAGTGAAATCTAATCGCTGTGCAACTAGTTTGGATTACTAAAAGTGATTCCATATAAGTTGTATGATCTAGTATTCCGAACGGATGCTGCGTGTTATTGATATGCTACTCTCTCAACGAGTATTGGCTTACACTCTATGAAACTCATTTTTCTAACTAAAAAAGTTGCTTTACATCTACGCAGTAACTTCTCGAATTGCTCCGTTAAACAATTTTATTACGCTTTTGCAGAAATTTGCCTTTTATCCAGCTCAGTGTTTTGACTGGGCATAATGCACTCTGCGAATGATATGATTATTACCAGCTATTAATAATACATACTTCCCAGTTTGGAGCATGTTATGAGTGAAAATACTAAATTTTGAAACTCGAACCTTATTAAATAAGTAATTGTAATGTATTATCAATGTAATTCGTTCACTTATGACTTGATACTCAACTGCTGTGCCCTAGATACTTGTACACGACACTGTAGAAGATTTTATCTAGGCCTTTACATCTTCAGTCATGTATTCTTACTTCATAATCATGTAACTTCCGATAAACTATGAACCCAATGGTCCGGAATAACGGGTTTGTGGATTTAAACGAAATCTCTCATTATTTTGTTTGTGTAACCTGTTTATGGGACGTGCAGATATAATGGACTAAAGAAGTACAGCCTTAAAATCCGGAGATTCTTGGTAGGTGGACAAAGTATCTCATAAGGTTTACCCCGCTTACCACTCCTTGATTTACAAATTCGATTATAACTACGTAAGACTAAAGATAACTTATTTAAAATGATATCCTTCACTATTGTACCCTTGTCCTTTTCTGAATTATATATTTCTATAGAAGCAGAGTTGACTGCACTTTTTCAGACATTCATTCGATAGCGTAATTGGTATCATCAGTGAAGGAGATGATCAAACTTACTCGGCAAAAAGCATGTCATCTTGCTTAGATAATAAATTGT